CCAAACCACGAACCGTGAGAACATGACCTGAGCCGAAGTCAGATGCCCAACCAACTGAGCCACCCAAGCGCCCTGATAATGTCCTTTGATGCAGAGAAGTTTTTAACTTTGCTGACATCCAGTTTATTTTTTTGTTGCCTATGCTTTTGATGTTACATCCAAGAACTCATTGCCAAATTCATTGTCATAAAGATTTTCCTCTTTTTTTTCCCTAAGAGTTTTGTAGTTTAGCTCTTAAGTTAAGATGTTTGATCCAACTTGAGTTAACTTTTGTATACAGTGTAAGCTAAGGGTACAGCTACATCCTTTTGCATGTGGATATCTGATTTTCTCGGCACTGTTTATTGAAGAGACAGTCCTTTCCTTATTGAGTGGTCTTGGCACCTTTATTGAAAGTTGTTTGACCATATTTTCTGGGCTCTCTGTTCTCTTGCATTGTTCTATATGTTCCTGTCCATTCCAGTACCATACTTTCGATTACTATAGCTTTGTAATTAACTTTGAAAATGAAAAAGTGTGAGTTCTCCAATTTTAGTCTTCTTTTCTAATTTCTTTTGCTTATTTGGAGTCCCTTGAGGTTCCATGTGAATTTTAGAATGTTTTTTTCTGTGTCTTCAAAAAATAGGATTGGGACTTCAATAGGGACTGCACTGAGTCTGGATTTCTTTGGGTGGTGCTGGTGTAGTAACTGTTCAGTCTTCTAGTCCATGGACACAGAATGTCTCTCCACTAATGGATGTCTTCTTAGTTCTTTCAGGAGTGTTTGTGAGGGTAAAATATTTTTAACTTTTTTTAAGTTTATTTATTTATATTGAGAGAGAGAGCTAGAGAGAGAGAGAGCGAGCGAGCGAGCAAGCCGGGGAGAGGCAGGGAGAGAATCCCAACCAAGGAGGCTTCATGCTGTCAGTGCAGAGCCCAATGTGGGGCTCAGTCTTATGAACTGTGAGATCACGAACTGGGCCAAAATCAAGAGTCGGATGCTTAATCGACTGAGCCGGCAAGGTGCCACTGAAATTGTCCTTTAAAGATAATTCTGGGGCTTCTGGGTGGCTTAATTGGTTGAATGTCCAACTTTGGCTCAGGTCATGATCTCATGGCTCTGGAGTTCAAGCCCAGCGTCGAGCTTTCTGCTGACAGCTCAGAGCCTAGACCCTGCTTCAGATTCTGTGTCTTCCTCTCTCTCTGCTCCTCCCCTGCTCACACTGTGTCTCTCTGTCAAAAATAAACATTAAAAAAAAAATTAAAGATAATTCTGTAATTTAGACCTTTTACTAGTGCTCTTTCCTAATTATTATTTTGTGGACACCACAGAATTCTTGAATTCTCTAAAATTTGAGTTCAGGTGTTTTTTCCTCTGTGAGTTTAGTTAGGTAAAGAATACAGGGCTACATCTGGAAACATGAGAGAAGTCTCCTCTGATGGCTTTTCCTGGTATCCCCAACACTCAGCTGTCCTTTATCCAGTTTATTTTTATCCAGATAAGGTTGTAATTTATTTCCATTGATTTATTCAAGACTGTGATAGTTTAAGATTCTATTTTTCCAAATGAAAGAGAGCTCTCTGTTTAAATGAATTTTATTTTGTACTTTTCATTGTATATTCAATCCAGATGTGCTCAATATTATAGTAAGCACTTTCAAGGTATAAAAGGAATATTGGATGTATTCTGTGAGCTTTCAGTCACAGAGAAATGAGGCATGCACACAAAATAATGAGAAAGCAGTATATAGTTATGATTACCAATTACCAAAATAAAATCAGCAAATGAGTTAGTAAGTGGTATAGGGCTAATTGTTGTGGCCTTGAGAGATCATAGATGTTTCAGTGAGAAAAGCTTATCTTGGGGTCAACCTTGACAAATGGGGGAAAAATTGAAAAACTGGAGCTCATTCTGTGTAGGGAAAAACAGAAGCAAATGCTTAAAAATATGAATAACTTCTGGGATTGGTGTACAGAGACCAACTTGATTCTAATGTATTATTTATGTTGGAAACAATTTTGGAAATTTTCATATGCACAGTTCGGACTCATGTGTCTAAAGCACTGATAATTTTGGATGTAACCTCAATGTGATAAGGAGACTAAGACTTCTGAGTGGGTTTTGGGCAAGAGGAAGGTTATTTTAGGATCTTTAATCTGGCAGCATTGTTTCCTCTTAAGTTATCACTATTAGATCGAAGGTGGACTTACACTGTTCAATGACCAGTTAATCATGGGTCTGTACGAAATGTTGCTCAGAAGCTTTCCTGTGAATGGATAGGCAGTTGGCATGAGTATGATGCGTATGGGTTGGGGGGTAAGGGGGAGGTAGTGTTCAGTAACACCACTAAATTGACTGTTTTCATGTCTTACATTTGGACAGATTTATTGATGAGATTCTCATCCCTATGGTGCTAAAAAGAAAATATTTTTCCATATTTATCGTATTTGAAAGTCTTTACAATGGAGAACTTTATAGGTATTTTCTGAGATATGGGATGAACGTTCAGGTTTTTTATGAGCATACTGATTTTGGTCTGCTTGACTCCTTAAAATGTTTTATGGTAGACTTAGAATTTTAATATTTAGAGAAAGGAAAAATGTGTGCTGTTTTGCTAAAGCCTTTAACTGTGTGACCACAAAGCAGAATAACATTGGACATTACTCTGTTAGGTCTTTATCAGAGAGTAAAATTACACTTTATTTGGAAAGTTTTGCCTAGGTATGAGACTGTTCACTATTTCTCAGGCTAAGTAAACATATAATAACTGCCTTAATAGAAAGAAAACAAGTTCCTGCTTCATAATGAAAAATGTGTGAATCATAACAGAAGAATGGGAGATTACTGGAAACACTTAGCTTTCAAAGTTTTTGGAACATCGTCCTTAAGTGCTTTAGGGATCAAGTAAAGGTCCGGAAAGATCAGCAGTTGAAAGTTTTTTGGACTTACCCTTTCATGTCATTAGTAATGGAAATAGTGCTTCTTAAATTGGGGTATTTATATAAAAACATACCTTTTAAATGGCACCATGGTATAAACTATGAGGATTTTGTAATGCTGCTTAAATATTTTCACATGACTTTGTTTTGAACTTCAGGATTCAGTTTTACATTTTGCTTGTTATGTGTAAGATTTGTGAACATCTTTGTTTAAAACATAAAATTCCTTCATCATGGGACACAAAGTTAATATTAAATATTTATGCTTTAGGCACTGTTGAGACAGATTATATGCATGTGTGTACTTTAGCTTATATGCTGCATTGATAGTGGTTAAAAGTATGACCCTACAGGCAATCTTTTCAAGCAGATAAAACTGTTGGGATGCTTTCCCAGGATGATGGGGTTTCCCTCCAGGCGTATCTCTTCAATGCGGTCCCGAATGTAACGGGTGTCGTTAGCCTTGCAGAATGTATCATCTGTGATTGAAGTTATGTTGTTAAACTAGAAAATAAAAGGAAAAAATTGTTCAGGAATTTGAAATCTACCTTTTGTATTCTATGTGATGGGATCTTACAGAATATTCTATCTAAAAAGTGGTTTTTAAAATACTGTACATCCTGTGTATCCTCAGGGCAATAAAACCCTCTGTGCAATCTGAGTCCCCTCACCCCCGCAGTTTAAGTCTGCAGTGTTGCTTTGGAAGACAGATTGCTTGCTCTTACAGTAACATCCATGTAGCAGAAAGCTCTAAGCATAAATAAGATTATACTGGCTGGAAAGACTCTCCTGCTTTTGAGTGTCAACTCGTAATGGGCACCGTGTCCTTAAATGTCCCTTTACAGAAAGAAACAGGACAAATGGGAAATGCTGTGATGCTGGAAGACCAATTTTAGTTCCTCTCAGTTCCTCTTCACTCTTCTGTTACCTCAACATGAGATCAAGTGGACAGTGTCCACTGCTGTTGGAGAAAGAGACACCAACCAGAGGTCGTAGCGCCCCCCACCCGCGGATGCCTCGGATCCATGTGTCACATTAACTAGGAGATGCCGCGTGCATGCCTGGCAACAGAGCCCACTCTAAGGGCAGACCTCACACCTTGGTTGCGGGTCCTCTGGGGGCTCAGGGGCTCTGGGCCTCTCTGGGCGGGGTGGGGTGGGGCTCTCAGGCCACCGAGTTAGTAATATTTGATGGGCATAATTTACATGTGGATAAATGAGCTTCCTAATGAGTCATAACATTGACTAATAGTAATTTACATTCACATCATCAGATATTATGAAAGGAGCAGTCCTACCTGAAGATGAATTACACGTAGACTTTCTGGTAAATTAAGAGGCACAGATTCCAGGGCGTTGTGGTCCAAGTACAGGAAGGAGAGGTTGTTCAGTTTCTGTAAGGAGAAGTTACCTCTGCTTGATCATCACTGAGGTCAGTACATTTTCACAGGATTCAAACTATGATATATGCACATGCGTCTACATGTGTGCACGTGTGCATGCATATACACATATGTGTACACATGTGTACATAGGTCCTGGTAATCAGTACTATCAATTGCTGCTTTGGTAGTTATTTGGTTTTAAGGGTTTTTTTTTGTTTCCCAAGTAGTGTATTTTGGGCCTTTATGAAGGGTGATAAAGTCCTGCTGCACCCCCACATTTCTCTCCACTCATCTAACCACTGAGTACCCAGCTGTTCCCAGCCTCAGACCTCATGCTAGCTGCTGGGGCCATTTGACTTGTCTCGTGAACAGCTAGTAAGGTCATTTCCTATGCAGGATTGAGCTTGGATCCTGGTGCTGCCATAACCTCTCTTGAACCTTTAGAACTTCTCATTTCACCTCCACCAGTTTCTAGCAAAATGGATATAGGCATATCTTGGACATAACGTGGGTTCGGTTCCAGAGGAACCACCACAATAAAGCGAATATTGCAATGAAGTGAGCCCAGTGTATTTCTTGGTTTCCCATCGCATATGAAGTTATGTTTACACTATGATATAGTAGGTTATGTCTAAAAATGTGCATACCTTAATTAAAAATAATTTATTGCTAAAAAGGCTAACCATCATCTGACGTTTCAGGGAGTTGTAATCCCTAATGACAGATCACCGTGACAAATGTAATAATAATGAAAAAGTTTAAAATATTGCAAGAATTAGCAAAATGTGACCTGGAGACACAGTGAGCAAACGCTGTTAGCAAAGGGGCACCACTGGACTTGCTCACTGCGGAGTCAGCCCAGACCTTCAGTTCGTAAAGAGTGCAGTGTCTGTGAAATGCAGTAAAATGGTGCACAATAGAATGCTTTGTGCCTGTGCTCCTAAGCGGCACGCTTGGTAGTGAGATGTTTCCAGGGCAATTTATTAAATATTTAGCAAGGTATGACTTTCCCCTACTGGTCTGTATTGAGTTACTCTTCATGATCAGTAGACCGTTACTGTGTATCATTTTATAATAGGGCTTCAAGATGGAAAGCATGTGTAAAGTTCAGAGCACTCAAACACTCCGTCTGTGAAGCGTTGATCAGCTCCTGTAGGTCTTTAATATGTCAGTCAAAGGCTTACCAGCTGAAATTACTATATCTTCAAATTGTAAAGGTTTTTTATGTTTAAAGTGAGTCCTGTTTTGAAAAGTCTCTGAGGAACTGTGATGTGCCTTCGCAGTGTCCCTTACAACTGAAAAGGGATTCCTTAAGTGTAAACAGGAAGGAAAGGAAAATGGAACATTTTTACATTTTCTGACAGATTGTACGTGTGGACTAATTGTACCTTTGTGTGATTGCTATAAACTTGATGATATTTCATAGTGTTTCTGTTAGATGTTATCATTAGAAGCCACAAACTTTACTTATGAGTGAGGTCTCCTGCCAGTAGCAGCCCAATCATCTGTTTATCTGGGGCTTCTTCCAGGACGGGAATGAGTATGTCACCTGTGCGGGTCTCAGCTGAGGCGGTAATTTCGCCGGAGACTGTGCATTTGGACACAACCTGGCTATGTAAATCAGAGTAGATCACCTTCCCTTTTTCCTGTATGTAGGTTTTCTTGAGTTACTAAATGAAGAAGTGTATTTAATTTGTACTGTATATAGAATTTTGTACTAGGTGCCGTTGTGGAACTCAGAAGAAGGGCTACCTACAGAATTTTATGGGCTGATACTTTTAAGTGGTAGAAGTAAAACTGAGCATTTACTTTTGGAACTGTATTTTCCGGCATTTGTAAAAACAGTTTTAAAATATAAAACAAAATTTTAGACCAGAGTTTCTCTTTCTTCTATCATGTTACCATTGGTTGTATAAACTGATACTGTGTGTGGTCACAGTATACAAAACTTACTTTGAATGTATTTGCTTTGATTCCTCTACTCTTGATTTTGTTGTATTTTGCATTAAATAAAGTAAGCTTGGGAGGAAGAACTGGAAGTTTCAGTAGTTGATTTTCAGCTAGTGTGAGTTCTTCTAACAGAGAAAGTTTTGAAAAAGTACCGTCTTCTATATCTTCAATCAAATTTCCCGTGAAATCAAGTCTTCTTAAGTTGGCTTGAAGGAAAAATACACAGAAAATATACAAAAAATATGAAGTTAAAGTCTCATTTATGTGGACTGAAGAAGAAGCACTGGTGTATCAGGTCATTCAAACACCTTTTATTTTTAGTATCTAATAGTGTCTGTAATGAGTAGATCAGTAAATTTTGTTGAATAGTGAGCATCCCTCTGTGCTTGACACCGATGGCCTTTGTCTCTTGAGCCCTAGAGTCTCAGGGTTGGAAGGGAACTTACAGTTAATGCAGTCCTTCCATCCTTCAGTGTTTGAATCCCCAGAATGCTGAGGTGGTTCGAAACAAACTGTGGTTGCAAATCATGGGAACTAAGCATGACTTTTTTTTTTTTTTTTTTTTTTTT